TTTTTTTTTTTGTAGAAGCAGGAGAAAGCCAAAGGATAAGAAATAAACACCAGGGCTACCTGAGATTATTTCTTAGCCAAAAAGACAACCAAAAAATTGTGATTTCCTACTTGTGCTTGAATTCTTGAAGTTAAAACTTTCACAAAACTTTTATCCAGCTGCGTCTCTCTCTCCCCCTCCTCTTTGGAGACAGACCGTACTCTGTCTATGAAGTGTGTACCTACTTCTACTCTAATCTGAGTGCCCAACCCCCACACCTCATGGCCTTTCTCTTGCCTTTTGATATACTTCTCTAAATAAATCTACTCAACTGTGGCTCACCCTTGAATTCTTTCCTGTGTGAAGCCAAGGACCCACACTTGATGAGGCACGTCCCAAGGGCTCAACCGAGGCCTAGGACACGGCCCTTCTCGTGCCCCACATCCGTTTTTCCTGCATCATCTCTCTGGAGCCCAACATGGGGCATTTACATAAAGAAATGGGGCTCAAAGGGCATAATCTCTATCTGCCTATTGGGCTATGGCTCCACTCTCTTTGGAGGGTGGCAGGGGGTTTCTCCCACACCGTGAAGATTCAAGTAGCCCTTAGGTGGCGGCTGATGCTGCCTGCAGGATCTGGCAGAGACCAGCTCTCTAGCCATGAAGGAGCCCACTGAGCCCAAGGCTTTTCTCCTTTTGATCTTTTCTCATTGTCTCCTCTATCGCTGTATCTCTTTGGGCTCAAGAAGATCCAGCACGGCAACCACTTGGATATCCAAACTAAGATCACATGGCAATAACTGACAACCTGACTGGGTAAGATTCCCCTCTGTGGTTCCTTGAGCCCAATTTAAAAAAAAAACTTTATCCACTCAACCCTTTGTAGTAGTCAGCTATTGACATAATAATGCTGTGTAATAAAAGACTACAGTAATCTCAGTTGTATTCAACAATAAACATTTATTTCTTGATAACACATCTATGGGACAACTGGGGTGTCCAGGTCACATGTCATATTCTAGGACAAAGGCTTGAGGAGCAATGGCTACCTAGACTACACTCTTGACATGGCATTGGCAGCAGCACAAGAGGACAAGCCCAATCAGACAAGCACACACATCGTATCCTCTGCTCACATCACAACCACTAGCATCTTATTAGCCAAAGCACATTACATGGCCAAGGCCAATGTCAAGATTCAGGGAAGTACTGAATTTAGACTAAACTACAAAACTACAGTAATCAAAACAGCATGGTACTAGCATAAAAAGAGACACACAGATCAATGGAACAGAATAGAGAGCTCAGAAATAAGCCCATACACCTATGGTCAATTAATCTACAGCAAAGGAGGCAAGAATATACAATGGAGAAAAGATAGTCTCTTTAATAATAAGTGATGCTGGGAAAACTGGAAAGCCACATGTAAAAGAATGAAATTAGAACATTTCCTCACACCACATAAAAAAGTAAACTCACAATTAAAGACCTAAATCTAAGACCTGAAACCATAAAATTCCTAGAAGAGAATACAGGCAGAACACCCTCTGACATAAACCATAGTAATCTTTTTAGATCTGTCTCCTAAGGCAAAAGAAATAAAAGCAAAAACAAACAAATAGGACCTAATTAAACTTTAAAGATTTTGCACAGCAAAGGCAACCATCAACAAAAGCAAAAGACAATGTACTGAATGAGAGAGAATATTTGCAAATGATATAATCAACAAGGAGTTAATATCCAAAATATATAATCAGCTTATACAATTCAATATCCAAAAGAAACCAGCCTGATTAAAAGATGGGGAGAGGACTTGAGTAGACATTTTTCTAAAGAAGACACACAGGAATATGAGATGTTCAATATCACTAATTATTAGAGAAATGCAAATCAAAAAATATATATCATTCACACCAGTCAGAACAGCTATCATAAAAAGTCTACAAATAACAAATGTTGGTGAGGACAGAGAGAAGAGAACCTTTGTACACTGTTGGTGAGAATGTAAATTGGTGTAGCCACTGTGGAAAACAGTATGGAGGTTCCTCAAAAAACTAAAATAGAACTACCATATTAGCAATTCCACTCCTGGCAATATATCAAAAAAAAAAAAAAGAAAACACTAATTTGAAAAGTGCATGCACCCCAATGTTCATAGCAGCACCATTTACAATAACCAAAATATGGAAGCAACCCAAGTGTCCATTAACAGAAGAATGAATAAAGAGGATAAGGTATGTATATATAAATGCACGCACACATGTGCGCACACAATGGAATATTATTCTGCCATAAAAAAGAATGAAATTCTGCCATTTGCAACAATGTGGATGGACCTAGACAGTAGAATGTTTAGTGAAATAAGTCAGACAGATATTTTATGTTATTACTTACATGAGGAATCTAAAAAATAAAAACAAATATATATAGCAAAACAGAAATAGACTCACAGAAAGAACAAACCAGTGGATACTAATGGGAAGAAGGCAAGATATGGGTAGTGAATTAAGAGATACAAACTACTATGTATAAAATAGATATGCAACAAGGATATATTGTATAGCACAGGGAACTACAGCCTCCATTTTGCAATTACTTTAAATGGAGTATAATCTATTAAACTACTGAATCATTATGCTGTACACCTGAAACTAACATAATATTATAAATCAACTATACTTCAATTAAAAAAAAAGAATCAGGGGAGTACATGTTACTAAGAGGCCACGGGCCATGTGGGTTCATAAACCTGCCAAAGAGTAGAAAAGCACTGGTACCAATAATCCCATTTAACATGCTTTCTAGACAATCCTGAAAGGTAGGCATTTATGGGCTCTATTCTTTCTTAACAGCTGAGGAAACTGAGCCTCCAGAATCGGTCATTCATCCAGGTCAGACAGACAATATGTTGCTCTAGCAGAATTAGAATTCAAATCTTCTGCGTTCTCTAGTTTCTACAGAGATGTAGCTTACTGACATGAAACTAGCATGCATCTTTAATAATCATGTACCTTAATCATGCTCCCTTGTAGATATCAGTTCTCTCCAACAAAGACCAGACCCAACATTGTCTCATCTGTTAGCATGATCATACTGTTTATCATCTGTTTGGGATCTTCTGCAGTGTTTTTACAAGCCATTTTTACTATTACTACACTAATAAATTATTTATGGTGGGAAAACTGAATTGGAAAACTGAATCAGAAAACTGGCTACTTGAAAACACACTTTATTAAAAACATCTCCTTCCCCCTCCAACAAGTACCTTCTCAAGGCACACACAATTTCTTTGTCTACTCTGAGCCTTGAATATTGCACAGAGTCGGTGGACCAACATTGATGGCTGCGGAGGAATGAGTATGGAAGAATCAAGTTAGAAGCTGATTCCTAAACATGGAGGTTTTACCCTGCTGTGACCCATTGTTCGCCAAAGGGATCAGACTGTAAAGCATTGTAATTATAAATCAGAAAGAGCAAGAAGATACCCTGATGCCAGCAGTCTCCCCCATGCATTCACCTACTCATACAGACAAATCGTTACCGAAGGCCACCTCTAGGCCTGGCAAGCTGCTGGAGCTGGGATGCCACTGAAAGAGACAGTCAGGTTCCCCGTGGAGTTTTACATGCTGCAGAGAGGGGTAGATTCTTAACAAAAAGCAAACAGGGTATTTTCAGATTGTGCTGTGGGTTGTTTAGAAATCAGCCTTGTGATCCTGGGTAAGTCCCTGGCTTAGCCCTTCTCAGGGGTCCTCAGTACCCTCATCTGGAAAACCGGACAGCTGCCACACTGGTTCCCTGCTCGTGGATAAGAGGATTCGAGGATTCCGTCAATAAACTAAGGTCTGTGAAGGCCTGGCTCCTGGGGCATTGTATCCACACTGGGTACTTTTACCGAACTTTCTTTAGTCCCCGTCAGTCGAACAAAGGGGCATTCTGGGCCCCTCTCCCTTAATGCTCACTAAAATGAAAACAAAACTCTTGACTGATATTTCCCGAGGACTCAATAACTCAGAGGATGCCAAACAGCGCGGGAAGTGGAAAAGGGTACAGAGGTTCTTGTAACAAAAGCCCAGCACCCAGCGCCCTAGAGCGAGGTTCCGGCCGTGAAGGGTGAGGCCACCCCTAACCTGATCCCTTGCTAGCTATGCCCGGCCAGGGGCCGCGGACGCCCGCGCTGCCGGCTCAGCGTGCCCAGAGTCGGGTAGGGGATTGTCTCTGCTCTCCACCCGCCGCGCGGGGACCACATGCCGCCCGACCTCTTTCTCCTCCTCCTCTTTCTTCTGCCACCCGCAGGGCAGGCTTGACAGCAGACTCATTAACAGTTCCGGGGCAGGGTGGAGTGGGGGTCTGTCCCTCATCCCCACCCCTGCCTCCCGGTGGGTTCCCTCCTCCGCCCAAGATTGGGGTCGAAGTAGTGAGAGAAGCCAGGAGTCTGCGCCCCCCAACCAGGGTCCGGGCCGCGCCATGCCGGTCCCCAGCTCCCGCAGGGCTCCACTGGACTGCGGAGCTCGGTTGTGACAGCTCTGGGTTGGGATGGGGGCTGTTCCTTTCTCCCACCCCCGCCCCGCAGAGATCCAGACGCTGCTCGGGCCTCTTCCTCCTAGCACCAGCCCAGGCAAGAGCCACAGAAGGACGGCGCTCGGGAAACCGAGCGCCCGGCCTCGCTCCCCGGGCCGCGGCAGCTGCGCCCTGGGGGCAGGGAGGGAGCGCAGAGAGGCCAGGGCCAGAGGGGCAGTGGGAGCCCCGGCCTCGCTGTAAGGCTTCAAGTTTCGACCGGCGAGCGGTTGTGCAACAG